CCGATGAACTAGCCCTTTTTTCTGCAAATTTGTTACCGTCATTAACGCTGTTACGGACCACAACGGTTTTGAGTGACAAACTCGACATTTCCCTGCGACCATCAAAATCAATTGGACAAACCCGGCTTGATGTATTGCGTGACGTGATTGTGCTAACTTTTCTCTTTGTCATACGACCTGTTTCGCGGGTTCTACAAGTTGGAACCAAAATTAATTAGTGTAACGAAGAAGCATCGAAAGTTATTAAAATGGACTGAGAATTTTACATTTTAATGAGAATTTTATCTTTTAAAATGTTAACTTGATTCGAGGAAAGCAAAGATTGGAGTGGCTCTGGGTATTTCAGCCCTAATTTAGGAAAAATAAAACAGTTATTGGTATGTTCTAAACATCAGAACACCTGAGAGGACAATGGAAATGTTGTAAAAGTATTTTTTAGCATCCAGAGTAAAAAGAAGAATGTGAGGCAGTGAAAGGAGACTGTGTTCTCAACGCCATTTGTCGTAAAAACTACCACCAGCTTATTATTGAACTCACTAAAATTTACCCGGAAGGCATTAACTTTTTTTGTCGCGACACTCGTGGTTTTAAAACTTTGAAACGACGTACGATGAATCCTGAAACTGGAGTTTGAGTCCATAGGCAAACTATGCAAGCTGGTCTCATGAGCAGATAAAGCGCTGACGAAATTCAATTATAAATATGAATGGAACAAAATCTCATTCACGCAACGCAAAATTTAAATACGCGCACATTAAACAATCGAGCAAATGAAGATAGTCTTCTACATGATTCAACGGCGTGGTAGGCTTCGGACGTTAATACCAGGTTACACATGCTCTCATCCCCTTTGCATCGCACAGTGAGCCTCTAATTGAATATGTCTTTCGCCAGTTTTAAGCAATATAAAGGAAAAAACGGTGACATCTCTTTACTTCAGATACGAAAGTTACAGTCGCCCCACCATCCACCCCACCGTGACTATTTGCATCCTAAAAAGTCTACCAGAATCACCCCCACGGGGAGGATTTGTCTTATCATCAGTTTTGCCGATGGTTTAAATCTGCCGCTCGTATGATAATCGGAAATTTGAAAAACCCCGCCTGTATTTTAAAGCTGTTTCCGCCATTGTTCCAAAGCAGCCATATACGGTCATTTTTAATCCTTGAACGAAGCCTGCTTAACTTTAAGTTGATCCGCTTTTCTTGATACGTTTGACAGTTTTGAAATTTGAAGCAGATGCAGAAATCGAGACAAAAATTCGTCATGCAACAATTTGTCCTTTGATTTTGTCAAGAGAAATCTGTTTTTGTTTGCTATTGCAGATAACCCAGATAGGCACTTACGAATCAATTTTTAGTTAAATGATAGCCTTCATTCTCGCCAAAAGTCATAAAATTTATAGTCATAAAATTTATAGTCGCTACTTCTCTCCTCATAATTTTAAAATTCAGCAGTGGTTTAACGAAGGAGCAATTGGAATCTAGTTTTTCAATTTTTCATAATAATATTGTAAACAAAAATCTTGAAAAACTTGTAACTCACTATTAAGAGAATCTAGATTTCCACTTCGGTATTATTGGGATTACTAAGACGGAAATTACCAACACAAATCAAAATTTTGCTACCAAAATTCCAACTTACGCTTTTGTTTACCACTGGCCTCTGGTGGTGTTGGGCTCTTCATAGATGAAAACCTTAATTACACAGTGCTTGAAAAGAAGACGCATGAAGCCTTTCAGGCACTGTGGGTCGAAATTTCTTTTAGCAAACAGGAGAATGTCATATGCGGCATCATTTATCGCCGACACAATTCTCCAGATTGTTTCATTGAATATTTTAGTAATACAATCGAAAAGCTAGCTTCCACAGGAAAAACAATCTATATAATGGCGGATTTCAACCTATGTCTGTTGAAGACCGAGAAATCTCAATACAGCCAGGACTTCTTACTGGCCTTACAAAGCAGTTATCTCTTTCCAACTATTGACAAACCAACACGTGTGCATAGAGTGTCAGCCTCTTTCATTGATAATATTTTTGTTAACAATCCCAATCAAGTTTCAATTAGTGGAAATATCGTCACTGACGTTTCTGATCATTTCTCTCAGTTTGCATTTTGACTTCAGGAAGAGAGAAAGTTGCTAACAAAACAACAACAAAGAAACGCGACTTCTCAGACTTCTCCTCTGTGCGGTTTAATAATGATCTGTCAATAGTCGACTGGGATAATATCATAGAATCAAAAGCAAATAGCCGCTATTTGCAATTAAGTAATTAAATAAAGTCGTGCAAAAAGGTGTGCCTTTGAAAGTTGTGTCAAAACGTTAAATTAAACAACTTGCAAAACCATGGATAACAAAGGGAATAATAACGTCAATTAAAATAAAGAATAGGTTATATAAAACTGGAATTTGTAGCGAATATAAATCTTATAGAAATAAAATCATCACACTTACGCGTTTAAGTAAAAAGCAATATTACTTTTTTTTTTTTTTTTTTTATGAAAACGTAAAGAATATGAAAAAAACATGGCGAGGAATCAATAAATTGTTAAGAGAGGTTGTCAGTAATTTTCAAAAATCCGGCGACAGAAGCAAAAATTCAATTTTTTTTATTCGCTCCAAAAGACTCTTTTGGTGAAATGTTTTCAAAAATAACATTCAAAAGTTCCAGCGAGTTTTAATTTTGGCAGAAAATACGAAAGTTCGAAATTGGCCAAAACGTACCTAGTTTGCATAATTTTTATCGGACTTTCAGTGCATTTTCACAATGCCCGCACAAGACAATAAAAAATTATCTTGAATTCATTTTTTTATAAGTTGTTTTTCATCCGTTGGAGTAGCTTGGCAATTATATTTCATATCCAACTGAACTTTCTTTCGTTTGTAACCACCCGCGTAAAGTACACTATATTTTCTATTCCGTTTGTACGCTGAATTTTGCCATATTTCAGACGACCATAACATTGGGGGTATACAAATATACATAAAATGAAAGAGACTTTTTTCAACGAACAATTCTTCGTGTTTATCATGTAAAAATATTATCTTTGGCCCGTGAAAAGCGAGCGCGCCAGACCAAAATATATAGCGTGCATTTTCACGGAGTTCGGCCATTTTCTTTGTTGTACTCCTCTTGCAAATCATACGCTATTAGGACAAAACTCGACGTGTTTGGTCTCTACTTCTGTTTTGATTCATTTAAATATATAAATTTTTACTTTAAAATTACCTTACCTTTATTGTTAAGTGAGCAAACCTCCGTTTAAGGTATTTTTCTCGAATGCTAAATAAACAAATCGCTGTTTACAAAGATACCAGCGGTCGCTTATTTTGTTCTTTAATTTACAATCTATCCCACTGGCATAACTTTGGTGAAAATAACATGTAGCTTGTAAATACGTGAGCGCGAGCTAAATAAAATCTTCGCATACATAAAATATTCGAAACATGTAGTTGTCGCAAGAAAATACTCGCTTGTGCATGAACCTCGTGTATACATATATATATGTATATATATTTCAATAATTTTCATGACATTGCATCTATGACTTTTGGCGTAATAAAGAAACGAATAGGAAATTTCCTTCTGGGTGGGCATTAAATGGAAGACAAAAAACTTTGCTGGGTTCGGCTTTTCTCGGGGTAAGTTTCTAAAGAAACTGTGCTGCTGCGTCGGTGGGAGAGTATAGCAGATAATTTAGTGTTAACAACTGAGTTGAAAACGTAAATTAGCCACCGTAAAGCGTAAAAAAGCGGACGTTTCGAGCGTTTGCCCTTGGTCAGAGCGATTGGAGGAATTGTGGGTTGTGTGTGGCTTTATTTGCAGAAAGTGGAGCTACGCCACTGGTGGGAATATGGTGGCGAGAAAACAGGAATAAATTAGTTGAATGAAAAGCGCTCGTTGATTCCGTGGGGATTAAGGGTGCCGATTTGGAAGATAAATTTTTGTTCTAGTGTTTTACGGCTTTCCGAACTGTCTAGATGTAAGGAAAGGCCGCAAACTGCCATATGCTGTTTAGAATGATTAGGAAGATTAAAGTGTCTAGCGACTGGTTTGGATGCGTCCTTGTCATTTCTTTCCACCTCGCGAAGGTGTTCTCGGAATCGGTCACCTAGTCGTCTTCCTGTTTCGCCGATTTATAACTTATTGCAATAAGTGCAAGTTATGCAGTAAATAACATTGGCGGAGGTACACGTTAAGTGATCAGTGATCTTAATGGATCTCTTGAGTCCCGATATTTTCTCTACGTTATAAATGAAAGAAGAAGTTTTGCATCGTGAGCGAGCGCATTTGAAAGTTCCAGATTGGTCATTGGTTTGAAATGAACTCCTGACTAAAAAGTTGCCTATTTTTTGTCACGTTTGAATGAAATAAGTGGGGGTTGCGAAAAGTTAGTGCCAGTCTCTGAATCGTTTTGGAGTAATTTAAAATTTTTAAGAATGATAGATTTAACTGCGTGGTTGTGAGGGTGAAATGTACGAGTAAATGGAATGCGGTCGGTTTTATCCTTCTCAGCCGTTTGTAGTGCTGACTGTCGATCAATTTGTTTAGCACGGTGGTGGCCCGCTTGAACGACAGAGACAGGATAGCCACGTTCATCGAAAAACTGGCACATTGCCTCTGATTTTTCGGAAAAATCAGAGTCGTCACTACATAAACGACGAAGTCTTAGAAACTGTGAAAAAGGTATGGAGTTCTTGACGTGTGATGGATGTGAAGATGAATACATATAAACCCACACACAACCCAGAATTCCTCCAATCGCTGTGATGAAGGGCTAACGCTCGAAATGTCAGCTTTTTTATCCTTTACGGTGGCTAATTTACGTTTTCAACTCAGTTCTTAACACTAAATTACCTGCCAGACAACGAAACGGGCAAGGGATTTCTGATTTGGAAATCAGAAAGAGGATCCAAAACCGCGGCAATGGTGATACACGAGCATTTAATCCAACCGCGCAGGCAACAAAATTCAAGAGTCACCGTCCAGAAGAAATGAATAGCGCTGACAGCCCGTTTTACTTGGCCATAAATTATCGGCGACGACCTGGCAGCAACTTCTGGTACATGAGGGCACCACTCGGCAAGAACGGGATTGACAAGCTGAAATGAATAGCGCTGACAGCCCGTTTTACTTGGCCATAAATTATCGGCGACGACCTGGCAGCAACTTCTGGTACATGAGGGCACCACTCGGCAAGAACGGGATTGACAAGCTGATGAAAACAGCTGCGCAATCAGCAGGCCTGCAGGGAAATTTTACCAACCACACTGTTCGAAAAACTTGTATATCTCGCCTGATGGATGCAGAGGTTCCCGTAAATTACGTCGCTCAATTAAGCGGGCACAGAACTTTGAAGAGCCTCGATTCTTACAAAGCAGCGTCCGCCGACCATCAGCGGAAAATGTCCTTAATTTTAAGCCGCTCCGGCTAAGAAAGTACTCAGACATCGACAGTAAGCGTCCACGAGAACACCACTTTGCTGGCGAATCTTCCCAAAGATGTCAGTAAATCAGGAGTTTTATCAGGCGCTTGCATCGGGAAAATTGAAGGCTGCACCTTCACTTTCAACATTACCCGTGTAAGGGAAGAAAGCCTAAAGTCTGCCAAGCCCAAGAAAAGAAGAATCATCATCAGCGATAATTCAGATTCTGATAAGTTAACTGAACTTGATCCACTGTCTTCGGAAAATACTTCCTTGGGATCCTTTGACTTTTTTCATAATAGATTTCATTATTGCAGAGTCATTTAGCTTGAATTTATTTGCCACGCTGACAACCAGAACTGTTGTTTGTTAAAAGATGCGCATGTGATTTGTCCCTACGCGCTCTTAAATTGACAGGTGTCAGATCGTGACAGATACTTTTAAAAAATGTCTTCTTGGAAGCCTATTAAATCACCTTTTAATATCATCACGCAAATAAATCGAGAAAAATACCTAAAACGGAGGTTTGCTCACTTAAAAATAAAGCTAGGGTAATTTTAAAGATAAAATTGATATATTTAAATGAATCAAAACAGAAATAGAGACCAAACACGTCGAGTTTTGTTTCATTAGCATATGATTTGCAGTAGGAGTAAAGGAAGAAAACGGCCAAAATCCTTGAAAATGCACGCTATATATTTTGGTCTGGCGCGCTCTCTTTTCACGGGCCAAAGATAATATTTTTACATGATAAACACGAAGAATTGCTCGTTGAAAAAATCTTTTATTTTATTTACATTCGTATACCCCCAATGTTATGGTCGTCTGAAATATGGCAAAATTCAGCGTACAAACGGAATAGAAAATGTAGTGTACTTTACGCGGGTGGTTACAAACGAAAGAAAGTTCAGTTGGAGATGAAATATAATTGCAAAGCTACTCCAAGGGATGAAAAACAATTTATGAAAAAAAATAATTCAAGATAATCTTTCGTTGTCTTGTTCGAGCGTTATGAAAATGCACTAAAAGCCCGATAAAAATTATGCAAACTAGGTACGTTTTAGCCGATTTCGAACTTTCGTATTTTTTGCCAAAATAAAAACTCGCTGGAACTTTTGAATATCATTTTTGAAAATATTTCACCAAAAGGGTCTTTTGGAACGAACAAAAAAAAATTGAAGTTTTGCTTCTGTCGCCAGATTCTTCAAAATTACTGACAACGTCTCTTAAACAACCGTAACAAATATCATGAAACGATAACGACAATAAAAGACCCAAATAACAACAATCAAGTTAGTAATGACCAGTCACGTATACCACATATTCTAAATGGACATTTTGCAAGTGTTGGTACCAAACTAGCAAGTAAACTACCCACCAAAAACAATCATATGGATTATCTCAAGAAATTAAAATCACCTGATCCTTCTCTTTTTTTTCCAAACCGATTCCCAAGATGACGTTAAACAAGAAATTCTCTCACTGCCAAACAACAAGTCGTATGGTTTATACTCTTGTCCTACCCAGCTTCTGAAATGTTCGGGCGATATTTATCTCCTGTCCTTTCGAACGTTTTCAGTACTTCTATTACGAATGATGTTCACCCATCAAAACTTAAGATCTCCAAAGCCACACCTATCTATCACTCCCTAGATCATGCGATCCTTGATATTGTCGAAACTTTACAGAACAATATGGATAAGCATTATTTCTCGTGTGGTTTTCGTTCACCTAAAAAAGGCTTTTAACACTGTCAATGACAAAATACTACTTGTTAAACTTAATTTTCATGGTTTTCGAGGGATTATCAACGAGTGGTTCCAGTCTTACTTAACAAATCGAACGCAAACAACTCAACTTGGATCGCACGTATCAACTAAACTAGTTTCTGCCTTTGGTGTCCCTCAGGGTTCGGTTTTAGGACCACTTCTCCTTTTACTTTATATAAATGACATTCACCTCTGTACCAATAAACTTCAATTTTTCTTATTTGCGGATGACACTAACATTCCCTATGCTGAGAACGACCTCAAGTCTTTAGAACAGACGGTCAATGCTGAACTGAACAATTTACATGACTGGCTAACTACAAATAAATTGACTTTGAATACAAAAAATCAAATATTGTAATTTTTCGCCCTAGACGAAAGAAAATCCGATATCTCCCACAAATTTGATAGTGAAAAAAATAGAAGAGTCAGCTTGGACATAGGAGTTATATCAAGTATTTTGGTGCTTTGATCGATGAAAATCTTTCTTGGAAAAACCATTTGGACTGTGTTATGGACTCGTTGCTTGGGGTAATGCGTCTAAAAACTATCTAAACAAAATTGTTCTCCAAAAGCGCGTATTACGTCTAATCTACTTTGTTGATAGAAAAGAATATGCAATCCCCTTAATTGTAAATGCGAAAATTCTGCCTATTACCTTCATATGTTGTAAAGCTGTATGTAAATTAGTGCTCGATGTTCATAACGACGGTGTACCATCTAACATCATGAAACTTTTGACGAGAACTTCAAACATCCATACATCTATTACTCGCTCATCAACGTCACAACTCTCTAGCGTTAAGTACTAAAGGCTTAAAATGCAAAAAAAAAAAAGCCTTTTCACGTGTTGGTGTCAAAGTCTGGAATGAGATGCCTGTAAATACAAAAAGTTGTCAAAGAATCCTTTCAAAAAAGAAACAAAAAGAGCTCTTCTCAATATTCAAGAAACTGAAGATTCTTATATGGAGCCTGACGAGATAATGCTAAAATTCAAACACAGCAAAATTGAATCAAATCGAACCAGCTCTACAATATTTTTCGTGCACTTAGAAACTCTAGGATTTTTTTCTCCTTTACAATGAACAGCTGTCATTTTCCTTTTTTTTTCTTTTTTTGCGTATCTTTTGCCCTTTTATGTTATATTTCTTCATTTCCGTTTTATTTCCAGCGTAATTAAATTAAGTCAGTAAAGAAAAAAAAAAAATAAATATATAAACTTGATCCGCCTCGATTAGCATTTGCTATCCGCGGGTCAAAGGAATGTCTTGTTCATATGTAAGAAAATGAAAAATAAAAGTGTGAATAACTCTTACTCCGTGACAACTGTCAATATTTTACTTCTATGCCAATTGAAATTAATGGAAAGATGAAGCGTATAACCGGTCACGCAAAAAAGTTATTGTTTACATAAGCAAACCTTATTATCGGTTTACCGCCGCCGGAGACAAAAGTACACAAATGGGGAAGTCGTGGTACAAATAGAGAAACGGTAACTACGTTCTCTTTCTAGATAAAAGTATCCCTACTTTTTTTTCTCGTTTAGTGCACAGCTTGTAAGGCTGTGTGATAATGAAGATTTCTATGATCCATTGCCAGGATAGTTACCTTTCCTCTTTTACTCCATCAGTGAAAATAAAACAAAACTGAAAAAATAATCCATATGGACTGTATAAATCTCGGCTTTCGTGTGCTACCTGGAAGACTTTGCACCGGTAATGAAGATTTCTACAAGTTATCAGCACAGATAATTACCTTTCACCTCTCTGCGAGACTCTGAAAAGAAGAAAGAGATAAGGAATTACGATTAGATATAAAAATATATCCGAGCAGCCGCTGGTTTTACGAGAACCCTACAACACAAGAGCGCTGAATTTTCACGTATAAGCTTATTTAGCAGATGTAGACCATGTTTAAAAGATAAGGAATTGATAGTCAGCAAAGTCACAAGAGTCAGTTTATCTAATCAAACTTGGTGAGCGTACATAAGCCATAATAGGGCTATGCATAAAGACTTTTACAAGACAAAGAGTGACTACGTTATCTTTCCAGATAAAACCATCCCTACTTTTGTTTCTCGTTTAGTGCACAGCTTTTAAGGCTGTGTGATAATAAAGATTTCACAAAAATCCAAAAAAAAAATACAAAATTGAAAAAATAATCCGTATGGACTGTGTACAATCTTGGCTTCCGTGTGCTACCTGGAAGACTTTGTGCCGATAATGAAGATTTTCACAAGTTATTAGCACAGATAATTACCTTTTTCTACCTTCTTGGACTCTGAGAAGAAAAAAAAATGAGGAATTACCATCGGCACGGCATGAGAAAACTACTACACAAGAGCACTAAATTGTCACGTGTAAGCTTATTGAACGGATGAAGACTTTGTTTAAAGGGAAGGAATTAATACTTAGCGGAGTCACCAGAGTCAAGTAATTCAACCTAACTTGGTGAGCGTACTAATACGGCTATGCAATAAGACTCAGACAAACGGTAACTACGTTATCTTTTTAGATAAAACCATCCCTACTTTTGTTTCTCGTTTAGTGCACAGCTTGTAAGGCTGTGTGATAATGAAGATTTCTATGATCCATTGCCACAGCTACCGGTAGTTATGTTTCCTTTTTTCTCCTTCGGTGAAAGTAAAACAAAACTGAAAAATATCTTTAATTTCACCCAATAAAAAAAAAAAATAAAAAAAAAAAAAAACAAACAAAAACTTGGATCACAAAAAATTCCTTCTGCGCTTTAAGGTGAGAGACTGAGAGGTTTGTTTCCAATTGCAAGCAGAAGAAAACTGTGAACATTAAGCAACTGTGAGTAAAAGAGTGATGTACGAAGGGAAAAAAAGAATCTCCCTTGGCTAGGAGAACAATGGTTTAGATAGTAGCATCAAAATTTGAGAACGTTTGTGAAAGTGTTCACTATGATGCTATTTTGGTTACCATCATTCTGGATCTTTCTGTTACTGTTTATAAACTTTCAAACAAACTCACAAAGTGAGACTTAAAACGCCTCGCGATGTTAGAGTTCTTTGGGCGACTTTTACCCATTACAGACAAGTTTTACGTTTTAATAAAATATGATTGACATTGTCTTCTAATAAACCACATTTCCAGCAAAAAAATAAAAAAAATAATAAAAAAATAAAAGATTTTGAGTTTCTAGGAACATACTGATTCACATTTCGGTAATCAGTAACCCTGTGTCCCCTGAGAGGACTCTTTTTGTGAAACTCAG